GCTGCACAACGTAAACTGAAAGAGTGTGGGTGGGTCGGACAGCCCTGTAATCCTGCTTAGCAGCCTTAGATCCTACTTTTAGCTCTAATAGGAATAATACTGTCAGATGGTGTTGGGTCTTCTCAAGCTGATGGGGTCTGTCATAGTTAGAGATAGCTGCTGCTTTTTCACCCCTCTCTGTCCTCTCTGAGTGCACCCTTCTAAGATTTTGCACTTCTTGACTGTACTACTCAGCTGCAAGTCTTCCATTCAGGAGGCATGACCAGGCAGCTTTCTAAAAGTATTGTTTTAATGATAGAAACACAGCTCAGTATGGGTAAGAGATTTGCCCACAGACTGTTTTAAAGTCTTCTCTCTCACCCTATTTTTACCATCCTTCTTGGAAGGTTAAGGAGGCTCACTGGCTTCAGGGCCTGTGTCTCTGTGCTTGCTGACAACTCTCACCCCTCTCTAGGGTTCAAGTATTTCAGTCCCTTTCAGTCCAGCCTGCTCTGTATCTGGGCAAATCAAGCTTTATAATTTCAGCTGGTACCTGTAAGTATCATCTTCGCCGTTTAACAGCACAGACATTGTTTTATAACCTTCTGCCTTGTTTACCAGGAAGCATTTGTAGCTGGAGCTCTTGTTACCTGCCAGCTATTATCCTGAACCTCCAGGTGCCCACAGTAAACCCTTCAGTATATGTATACAATAAACATTTCCCATGGGTTGCTCACTTACAGTTAGGGGCGTGTGCAGGAATTTAAATGTGATCACTTTTGTAGGGGGCACATTCTGTGCCTCTGCCGCAGCCCTGGGGTTGAAGGAGCTCACTCTCCCTGCTGCAGCCCTGGGCCAGAAGAGTTCTGCCCCTACCCTTTCCTGGGGAGCCCATGCCCCTACTTGCCCCCCCACCTTGTGCAGGCTCCTGCTTACAGTATTTGTAAATTAATACAGATCAGTCCTTCAGTGGCCATTGAAAAGGTTTGTATTCACATCAGAGTGGAGACCACTGAGTTCAGTAGTTAGTAAACAACTTCTAAAAACAGAGGATCTATCTCATTAATCTATAAAGCCTTATATGGCCACACAATACTGAGGGATGTGTGGTAGTTGTTGTTTTTTTTTATTTAGGGGGCGGGGCAGCCTCCTGCAGCCAAGAATGTACTGGAATTATTCTTTCATTTGCTAAAATGTGTGCTCTCTTTCTTTGTGTCAAGGGGAATTATCATAAAGTTGTGCTGAGGGTCCGATCTATTGCGAAAAGGGAAATTGAAATGTACTTTCATTCATGTGCCTTTGACCTTGGAGGCCTGAATTAGGTGCTACTGCTCTCTATATTTTTAAAAGAATAAAGGTCATTCACCCATTTCTGAGCACAAGTGAACACATTGTCATGCAATACAAGAACCAGAGATGTCTTTTATTTTAAACCAAAAAAAACCCCCACCGCATTTGGACAATTCTTTTGTCATAGCTACTGGTATTGTGTAGCAACAGTATCCCATTCTCTCTCTCTCTCTCTCTCTCTCATTTTTCTTGTTTTAACATTTTTATAGTGCCTAAGGGCTAACCAGCAGTGGGGCTCCATTGTGTTAGGAAATGTCAGAGTAACAGACTGTTCATTCCTGAAGTGCTTAAAATCTAAATGGACAAGACAGTCACAGGTGCAGGAAGGGGTAGAACACACTAGCAGAATGAACAGTATGATAAGAGGGGATCAGCTAAAGGGGAAAGGAAGTTAGGCCGATACGCAGTGAAGAGACTCTGAGGGAGGGCTGCAGCAAACAGCCAGTCAATGAAAGTTCAATCAAAACCGATCCTCTGCATTTGGAGAACAGTCTACCAAGGTCCCTGCTTTGGCTGCTTCTACCCTCTACTGCCTGGAGTCCCTGGCTTGCTCCTATCTGTAATTTTGACACTACCTGGTGTCCCCAGTTTGTGAGTTGGGGGGTCTCCCCAGCACACTGCTGGGGGAAGGGGTGGTCCCAGATGGGCCCCACTTTACCACTTCCCCCCACACTGCAGTATTCCCAGCTTTGGCTGTTTCCTCCCTGCTGTCTGTCCCATACGTCGAGGTGGGAGTTGATAAGCACTCAGTGGAATAGATTTTCAAAAGCCCTCTACAGTGGCCTAATTCTCTGCTCACATTGAAGTCCAGTAAAAATCCCACTGACTTCAAAAGCAGAGGAGTTAGCCTAATACAGAACCGTTTTGCAAAGCCCAACCAGTATATTTTGAGTGAATTGATCCCTGGAGAAGGAAAGACCTGATTATCAATAATGAGATTTGTCCACTGTTCATAAATGAAATGACCAGAGTCCATATCTCATCATTTTACCTTCTAGTTTCCATTATGAGCTTCTGCTGATAAGTGGAAGGGCATGCTGGCTGGAATAACTTAATGAGAAAAGGGGGGAATTGGTCCAACAGCATGGAGGTTGATTTTGGCTCTCTTATGCCTTCTCTCTCTCTCCAAAATAAACCTCCCAAGGTCCTCAGCAATATGAACTTAATTTTGAGTTCAATGTTTTGATGTTAAGAGATGCTTCTCTGGATGAAATAATGTTAGTTAGCAGTACCTGTACTTGCTGCCTGGCTATTTAGAGTTCTAGGTATAGCCCAATATAAGTAAATCTTATTTCCCATAATCTGAGGTAGATAATGAATCTCCCAATTAGGATTTGTGTCTGAATTAATGGAAATTTCCCAAAAGCTGCGAGAGGAACATCACAAAGGGATGCTGGATGCGGAATATGTCAGTGAGTAAGCATGGGATGAGAATCTTTGATCTGTTTTCTAAATAGGCAGAAACCACCAAACGCAGCTGGTTGTCAGGAAAACCGCAGAGGCCCAAAAGAGACTACCAGGTGATGTCTGGGGAAGTCAAGACCAGATCTGAGACCACTTAATTTCCTTCCGAGAGACATGCATCTTGGATACTCCACACATGGAACCCCATGGGCAAAGCATAATCCTATCTTCTCCCTAGGGGCTTGGTTTGGAATTACTCTCCTTTTTGCAGCCAAAAGTTTGTGCTTGGTGCTGAGTTTCAAGTTCATGGCAACTTGATATGAGCCAGGGTTTGGTTAGGAATCTTAAAAACAGACTTGGTGGCAGTATTCCATCATGCTGCTGGAAACTTTTAGCAATGCCGTTTTGAAAACTAAAAGAGGTAGTCTTATGTAAAATGAGAGATTCTTCAAAATAGATAATAGTTGGGTTTTTTTGGGTGGGGGTGTCGAGGGGTGGAATGATTTTTATAGTGAATCTGTATGACAAACCTATCCATCATCCTACTGAATTTCTTGTTACAACCAAGAATACAAGACAACTTTGTGCTAGACCATTCTGTGATGCCGCAGTGAGATACCAAAGCGTAATTATTAGAGAAGTGCTTAATTAAGTATGAGGGCCCTATTCACCCACTTGTCGTGCACAGCTTGTGACCCCAGCCACAGCATAGGGGATGGAAGATCAGTAGCTGCTCACCCTGAATTCCCCCCCTGCAAAGAAGTGAGCAGATGGGTTGGGGGTTAGAAGTAGCTCAGGAGCTGTCCTTTCTCTACACCTCCTTCCAGATGGCCAGCTGACATGCAGGAGTATGCTCTGCTGTAAAAAGAGTTGAAATAACTTGCTTGCTCTCCAGCTCAAAAGGGGAGGAATTGTGGTTGAATCTGCTTCTGGGACTACAGCGCTACGTGCCCCCGCCTTATTCTATAAAGTTACAGTCTAGCCCTATCAGGCTGGTGCTGTGGATGTCTGTTTCCCCCCACCTTCCCTTTTTGCATCCAGTGAAGTGAGCTGTAGCTCACTAAAGCTTTTGCTCAAGTAAATTGGTTAGTCTCTAAGGTGCCACAAGTACTCCTTTTCTTTTTACACCATTTAATGTAATTTCACAACAAACATCTTGTCTCATTTCCTTATTTGGGATAAAACCATTTGAAAAATCTTATTATGCTCTATTAAAATCTTATTGCTAAGCTTCTACTAAAATCCCCTGGGAGGGAAACCCTTGATTTAAAGGCATGATTAGAGGGTTGAATTGTGGGAATGGTGTTAACCCCTCTCCTGCCCAGTTCTCAGAGTGACAGACCAACTGGTGTTAGCTGGTGGGCCTTTCCCACACACTGGCCTCTTCGGGACTTCTTCAGCATAACAGCTTTCAGCTGGGAGGTTTGTGGGTTTGGTTTTCTATATGGGGCATTCTGCTGCATTCCTGTAGAGAGATGGGTTAGGCATAATGCCCTGGAAGGCTTCAGTTTTTTGAAACATTGAGCAACTCCAGTGGCTGATGCTAACCTTCTTCAAATATGAGAAGCACAGAAAGCAGAACTCTGCAATGCCCATCAGATCAAAGCTTTTGTAACTGCATGACTTGTGATCTAAATAAAACCAATTATGCAAATTTGATGCAGTATAGGAAGATTAAAAATATCACAGTGCTACAATCTGTCACAGCCTAACAGAAGCTCCCACTGCACCATTCTTTCTCAGTTACTTAAAGCTGTGTCTTCTCCATCTCACTGCGTACCACCACATTTACCATCACACCTTAAGTCCAACAGGCATGGTGGTAAAAGGACAAGCAGCCTGTATGCAAAGTCCAAGTCCCTGCATGTGCATGGAGTGTCTTGGGCCAAGGGGGGCACAAAAGGGGTTGTCTGTTTAATGTAGAGCCTGAATGCATCAATGTACGTCTTCTGGGTTTAACTCTAACTGTATAGTCAGTTTTGTTTATCTCTCTCAGATGGCAACAGGCAGAGAGAGAACTAGTTAAAAACTAGAAAATATTGTAAAGCCACAAGAATTGGCAGCGGGACTTGGTGTCAGGTGTGGTTTTTGAAATTTCACTGAATATCTTTTTGAAATTGACTAGATTTCAAGTTACAGTAATTCTTTTAATATAAACTTTTGGAATAGCGACTTTAGTTTTTCTGAGGTAGAAGAAAGCTCACATTAAACGTCTGAATTTTTAGACTGAACTTTTTTTTCCTCTCTCTCTTCTTCCTCCTCTGCAGATATTGCTCTATAGAAGATGCACTATTACCGATACTCTAACCCAGAAATCAGCTGTTGGTATAAATATCTGCTTTTCAGCTACAACATCATCTTCTGGGTGAGTACAAGACCAAAACTCTCCTTCTGTATTATGAGGTCCTCAGCCTGGGACTTGTCTCCCTGAAATTATGTCCTTCAGCACGTGCATATTACTCACAGAGAAAGTGAACGTCATGGACTTGGATGGAGGCTTTTGTGATATGTCCAAGCATGACTGAAACCTTCAAACTCATTTCATTTCTAACTTAAATTGGAGGCAGGCAAATGTCCAGATGTTTGGATTTGTCTTGTTGGTTTCAGCATGTCTGTAGGCTCAATCCGGTACAATAATAAAGAAAAATGTGGTCCTTGCTCCAGTGAGTTGACAGTTTACGTTAGAAAAACAATGTAGATGCACAATATAGAAGTTGATCATCTAGTCTCAGCAGCTTGGATGTCCATGTGAATTATGGATGGCTCCTGGCAGAGACATCCAGGTATATGGACTGATTCAGATGCCTCTCCAGTCGGAATCTTTTGGGTATGGAAATAGCCTTTCCTGGGCACTGTGGCTCTTCTGTCCTGCTTCAGGCTGGAACCAGGAAGCACTGGGTGGGGGTGTGTGTGTGTGTGTGTGTTGAAGAATAGTTTCGTGGGAAGTTATCCAAGATCTTCTGAACATCAAAAAAGTTAATTTTCCTTTGCGTAGTATCACTTTGGACGCTCCATTTCAGATGTGCGTGCACCTCTCGAGCCCTGTAGGGATGCTGGTCAGGCATCACCTAAAATGGAGCACCCATAGGGACACTACTCGAAGAAGAAGAAGAAGAGGTTACTCACCTTGTGCAGTAACTCTCTCTGGTTCTTTTGAGATGTGTTCCTATGGGTGCTCCACTACTGCCCTCCTTCCCCTCTCCTTCAGACTGTGTTCTTTCTTTAGACATTCAGATACAGAGCTGTGCGGACAGTTCCTTCTTTATCCCCTCTGTGTGTGACATGAGATTGTAAAGAGTACATGCACAGGGCAAATGGATAGCAATGGAAAAATCTCTGATCGAGGGCTCGAGAGGCGTACGTGTAACCCCCACACCTCCTGGGTGTGGTGTTCTGTCCCATCTAGTGGCATCGAGACCTCTTAGAGAGAAAAAATGAGTCTGCTCTACAGTCTTAGGTAACAGCCAGTTGGCTTTTAGCTCATGCTGTAGAGGCTCATGCACTAAGCTCCAGAGGTCCCAGGTTCAATTCCGCCCACCAACAATGCGAGTCTGTCGGCATTACATATGCACACCTGAAGTGGAGCTCCCATAGGAACACCCCTCTCAAAGAACCACCATTACTGCACAGGCAAATAACCTCTGGTTATCTTGGTCTGAGCTGGTTCTTATGACTTCTGAACTATTGGCCTGACCCTAACTTAAACATGATCAGTAAAAGGGGTACAGAAAATGGTATCCACCCATTCTTGTTACTTTATACTATGTGCATATTAAATTAGGCTTATGTTCATTAACTGTCTTGGCCTTTCAACATCTGTGCATGCAAGGTGAGGAGATGCTTTCTGAACCAGAAGTTTAATAAAGACCTCAAAATGGCCATGATGCCAAACTGTGCGATGTCTGATGTGTATTGCTGTCCTTCAGACAATGCAATCGGAATACTGGCATAAACAATGCAAGTGTCACTTATCCTTCTCATAGACAGTTTGGGCCAAAATGACCACTAATGAAAACAGGTGCAAAGTGGAGCTGCCCCTTTGCTAATATCATTTACAGTGATACATGCAGCTGGTCTAATATGTTGACTCTGCAGTGTAGCTAATCAAAACTTTACTGAAGCAAACTTAAGGGCTGGAGTTTTCAGGGGAAGACATGAAAGTGACTTTTTTTTTTTCCCCTTCATAAAACTTGATACCACGATACCAAGAATATAAATTGACATTTCTGTTAAAGCCAGTGGTGCCATATTGACTTACACAAGCTGGGGATCTGGCTATAAAGGAAGCTGCTCTCACTGGTGACCATCCTTGTTTAGTACGCCGTATCCTTAGCCGAAGGCAAGTCGTTTTAATGAAAACCGGGACCTCTAAACTGAGATACTGTAGATGATAGCTCACAATGAAGCAAGTAATGTGGAAAAAGGAGATGGAAATATCCCCTGCTGGAGAATCAGTTTTCCATTATAGCTTTATGATATTCCTAACCTTCTGTAGTAGGCTTGTCAAATCCTTCTGTTTTTGTAACTTGACAGTAAGAATATACAGCACTTGGAAAGGGTCAGAAGTCCCTGATGTTTCCGCAAGACTATCAAAGATCTGTAACTGGTCTTTTATAGCCACTCAGTTTTCCCTCTCATTCTACGTTGTTCCATCCTTTTTTATCACTTTTTTTTTTTCTTCATAAAGGATAGAATGACCTTTTTTCTTTATCCCTCTGTTCCCAACCTTTCTAAAAACTGATAGTGATCTTAACTGTTCCTTTTTCTTACCTCTTGGCTTTCAGTTTGCCTTGTTGCTCACTGGAATGAGAGCTGATTCTGAGAGAAGAAAGAGCAAAAATTTTGCAAAGGCTCTTTGCTAAAGAGTGATAAAGGGGCAGAGAACTTGAGTATTATGGTTTTGAGCTACAGCTTTTTCCCTCCCCCCTCCGGATCGCTGTTTAATGTTTCCAGTACTGAATTTAATCATAGGGTTGTAATTTTGAAGAGATATTAGATAAGTCTTTGCACCTTTCCAATTTAATGTTTTGGGACTTGCATTAAAAACTGTGTCCAGAGTGTGCTGGTAAACGATTGTACCTGGGGCTCAGACCTCCTTGATAAGATACAATATGGGGACCTATCTGCTGCATAAAAGGCTATTTAAATTGGGGGTGCGTGCACACACCCACCCACCCCTTGGAAGTACCTCTCTCCGCTGACCTGGCAGTCTGTTGCATGAGGTCAGGAGTAAAGTGGTTGGGAGGGTCAGGCTGTACTTTGACAGTGACTTCAGGACTTTGCTTCCCTCTGTGGAGGAAGGCTGGAATTGGAGAAAAGTATAGGCACTTTCACAAGCCTATCTCAGCCATTTACAGTACTGTGTTACAGTGATCTTGGAAGGAGCTTGTCTCTGTCTTGCGTAATACTGCACACACCCACCGCATTTTTCTTGAAGTATCTCAAAGGAAAAGGTTGCAAGGCATATCTGAAAGGTTCTTAACAACATATCTGAATGGGGTAATAACTTCTTTAGTTAGTCCTGAGATTCCTTCCTACATACTCACCCTTTGTTAGTACACTACATGTCTAGAGGGAGGGGTAAGATCGAAGACACTCTCTACTGCAAAATATAAAATGTACAGGAGAATAATAGGCCAAATTATACCTGTCCCTGCACAATATTGCTATAGGGGAAAGGCCCTGAAAGCACAGATGCAGAGGGCAACCGTAATCTCTCTGAGCATAAATGCAATGGGGAAAAGGGGTTTACCAGTGTTGCCATGAGAGTTGAACATCCTCCAGGCTCCTATCTGGGCAGGGCCGGCTCCAGGCACCAGCTTTCCAAGCAGGTGCCTGAGGCAGCATTCCCAATGGGGCGGCAGTCCATGTCCCATGGCGGCTTTTGGGCGGCAGCTCCGCCGCTCTTCTGGGCGCGGTGGCAATTCGGCGGCGACTGCTTGGGACGGCAAAATTGGCAGAGCTGCCCCTGAATCTGGGTGGGGGCAAGTTCAGGACCCTGACTCTCGTGTCCACTAGTTAGTGCTGGTAAGCAGCACTGGGATATAGCACAAGCCACACTTTACACAGGTGTAGAAACTGCTTAAGATAAGCACACTCCTCCAGCACACACAGGGTGTCCAACTTTCTAAGTCCAGAAAACCAAACACCCTTGCCCCGCCCCATCCCCCGCTCACTGCATCCCCCACTCCCTTCATTGCTTGCTCTCCCCCACCCCCTCTCACATGCTCATTTTCACTGCAAGGTCCAAACGTATATATTTATTGTTTTGACAGATGTATCTTTGCTAAGTTCCAGTTTTATTTGTTACTGGATGCTAGAGCTGGCAGCAAAATTAGTCAAAAAGGGTCATTTTAAAAAAAAAAATTTCAAAGGTTTTCATGATTTCCCCCCCCCCCTTTCCATTTTCTTTTGCAACGAACTCCATGTTTTTTGTTCACTAAAGTTGTTGTAATTTGTGTGTGGAATTAGGACCACACATGATCATAGCGGCAATGGGTCCATTACAGGCCCAATCCTGAAGCCCAGACCCAAATCCATAGACTACAACCACAGAAATGCATACCAGTCCAGATAATGATATAAATAAATCTGTAGCAACTGACTCCCACATCTACACGTAGGTACACATGTATATTCATGTGTACACATCTAGCATGCATGAACACATTTACTTCCACATTTTTTAATATTACAATTGTTGTTTAGTGCCTAGAGACCCCTACTAAGATCAGGGCTCCAGGGCGGCAAGCTAGACGTACTGGCCAAACTGGACAGTATCTACGTAAAAGAATAAATGGACACAAATCAGACATCAAGCATTATAACATTCAAAAACCAGTCAGAGAACACTTCAATCTCTTTGGTCACTCGATTACAGACCTAAAAGTGGCAATTCTTCAACAACAAAACTTCAAAACCAGACTCCAATGAGAGACTGCTGAATTGGAATTAATTTGCCAACTGGATACAATTAATTTAGCTTGAATAAAGACTGGGAGTGGATGGGTCATTACACAAAGTAAAAACTATTTTCCCTTGTTTATTACCGCCCCCCCCCCCCCCCCCGCCCACACACACACTGTTCCCCACACGTTCTTGTGAACTGCTGGCAATGGCCCACCTTGATTATCACTATAAAAGGGTTTTTTCTCTCTCTCCTGCTGGTAATAGCTCACCTTACCTGATCACTCTCCTTACCATGTGTATGGTAACACCCATTGTTTCATGTTCTCTGTGTATATAAATCTTCCCACTGTATTTTCCACTGCCTGCATCCGATGAAGCGAGGTGTAGCTCACAAAAGCTTATGCTCAAATAAATTTGTTAGTCTCTAAGGTATACAGACTAACACGGCTGCTACTC